AAATCAAAAAAGTCATCTTTGTTGAAGGAAATTTCTTGTGTGCGTGGTAATGTTTCCAAATCCATTTCCATTTCTACAGCTTTCTTGAATATATTTAAAATTTGTTCCTGGTAATGAAAATCCATACAAGATAACCAACGGTTTTTGAAGCGTGGATAAGATAAAGCGGCAATAGCAGCATTTTCTGCAACAGTGGTTGTACAATTGAAAAATTCATCAAATCTTCTTTCGACAGCATTGAGAAATACTTCTGAAAGTGGTTTACAAAATGTCCAATTCTTGTTTACAAGAAGCTGTAATTTTCGACGTAGGGCTACAAGGCAAGGTAAGAGTGTAACGATACACCCCGTGCACCCCCTTAAAGATAATATATTCCCGGCATGCGATCCGCCGGAGGCTGCCGCCCGGCAGAACATCCGCCGGGCAGAGGCAGGGGCGCAGTGCGCCCACATTTTTAAATTATTAACAACAACCCGAATACAGCCGAGCGTTGCCGACGGGCCTCGATCCGGACCGGCGGAAAAACCCGCGCTCGGCGCGCACCCCGAACCCCTCCGAGCGGGCCACCGACCGTACCGCTTCCCGTAACCCGTTCGGAAGGGGTAATACCGCCGCGCGCCGGCGCGAGCAATTAGGCTGGTATAAAAAGGGCCTGTTCGATATAATGAGTACCTTTTTCCGATCCGCTCTCATCAAGAGTAGCAGCTCCGAAACCTAGACCGCTCCGAAAATTCAATGTCGCTTTTGAAACGAAAGAGGTAGAGTGAACTCTTCCTCCATCGAGTGCTCTCGATCTTCAAAACAGATCACTCCATCCGATCATAATAAAACCGACTGGAAAACAAGGAATCAGAGAGAACTCCGATTCCGTCGAGAGATCTCGATGACCGGCCTAACATCCGACCGCCAAAACGCAAGTGCATTCTCACGGGGTAGAGAATAGAGCTGCCTCGGACGAGTCGCTCTCGTCGGCACTGCGTTCCCGCGAAATCCTTCCGCACGGGACTAGTAATTTAAATACCCCGAAATCGCGTCTATTAAATTCGGGGAAAACCTAGCGTACTTAATAAAAAGCGCAGTAAAAACAGGGCTTTCCTGGCGTACGGGCACAAAAACGAGACGCGCCGCATCTACGGTCATTGACCGCGCCCGAACCACAACACCACGGCATAAACATCGTTTAAAGGATACGATCGACACAATTCATTTCCGCTATCCGTATTATCGTATTCAAGCGCTTCGACTTTAATAATTTTCCCGCGGCACGCTACGACGTGCACCCACAACACGATTAAATTGTAATAAACAATAGCTAAGCGCCGCGCGCCGAATATCGCGCTCACGCCTAATTGCACGCGTTTTATTTACATACACGCGCACACACACCAACCACCACGCGCACATACACACTGTATCCCCGACATTCAATAAACTTACTTATTTTCCTTCTTTTACTCACGCTCTCGTTTATTGCAAGACCTCGAACCCGGATTTCCGATCCCGTTAATCTCTAAACAAAACCGCGCGGAAATCAGCCCGTGACAAGAGTATGCCATAATATGTATTATTTTCTCCTTGAAGCAAGTCTAATGCTTCTGCTACTGGTCCTGCACAAGACAAATGCTCCTCTAAGTACTTGAATTCGTGTTCATTTAACATGTTATTGATATTTAAAGCTTTAAACAACTCAAAACATTTGGGCTTAATTTCACTGATCTGTTTGAAAGCATCATATAAACTATTCCATCTTGTATCACCTGGTCTAGTAAGAGTATGACCTAATATGCCTTCAATAATTTCAGCGGTTTTTGATCGCATAGCAGCCTTCCATAATAAGTTACATTTTTTCATAACTTGAGTATGTATAATTGATAAATCTTTGGAATTTATCAAAAGTTTAGCCGCATCACTAGTAGCACAAAGACTCAAAGTATGAGCACCACATTTTAAATGAACTGGTAGAAACTTCTGTATTTCTGATAATAAGTGTGCTTCTTCTTCACTGAAAGATTCTGCGTCGGATTCAGTTGGTGCATCACTTTTCTCGGATTCACTACAGCTTTCTTCCATAACATGTAAACGTTTTGGTGTTACACCATACATTTTGAAAGCTTTAATGAAATTCCTTCCATTGTCCGTAATTGTCGCTATAATTTTGTTTTGTGTAAGACCAAAATCTGTATGAATTATATGTAATAAATCAGCAATCCTATCATATGAATGTGTGCTACGAAATCTTCGGCACGCCAAAGCTACAGATTTTCGTTGAAAGTTATTCTGTATAAAGTGAGCAGTAACTCCGAGGAAACTCCTTTTCTTTCCCGACCAAATATCTGCAGTAGTGCACACAAAAGGTATTTCTTGCAGTTCTTGTTTAATCAACAATTTTGTTTTTCGAAAAGAGAATTGATTCGGTTTCCAAGACTACGTCGACTCATTATAGTAAGACCTTGTTTAGATATATTCAATTTATCAAAAAGAGAAATAAAGTATGAGTTCTCCACTGTCCTTAAAGGAATCATTGCATGTAGAATAAATTTTGCTATACATTTATCAAATGTATATTGAGAGAGCTTTTGGGCATGTCCACGCGATGAATGACTTGCAGTTTCGTTTGTCAATCCTGCAGAACTTATTTTTATTCTTTTAGATTTATTATAATCTTGATAATCTGCTACTGTTTGCTCTCCATGTCGCCGTTTCAAATGAGATATGAAATTTGAAGTAGTATTTTTATATCCTTTAATTTCAACATTTCGAGGTTGACATTTTACGCAAAGTACAACTATTGCATCTGAAGAACTTTTTTCTGGTAAATATCGAAAAAATTTTCCATCAATAATCGACATTTCTGATTGATGTTTTTCCACGTCCGTGTTTTGCAAAGATGATGAGGCTTCATTGCTGTCCGACATCACAAGAGATGATACACCAAAAGTGTCAGAATCACTATTGCTCATAATGTTATCAAAAAGAACAACGAAAGAGATTTAGAAAAAATATTTAGAAATTACGTATTCCTTGTTATCTTGTAATACTTCTCAATCTTAGAGATATTGTTGTTAGAACACATCTATAGGTGTACTGGTAAGATAAGTCAACTTTGCTTAGTACGCAGCAATGCCAAAATGGATATTCAAACAACGCATTCGTAGCCAGAGAGAAGGTACATATAGAGCACGCAAGCCAGCCAAAATCTACTAAGGGTATTAGAGAGAGAGAGTAGATAAATTGTTTATACGCCGGTGAACTCAACTAACAGATATACGCAATTTGCGTTTGTGTACGTTTTCCCTTCCATTATAATTGCGTATTGCTCGAATTTTTATTCTGACAACATTAATAACGCGAAGGAATTCCAATGTTTACTTTGGTTTAGTTTGTATACAGGGTAGTCTATTAATAAAGTGACACAGTCGATTATCTATTTACAGTGACACAGTCGATTATCTTTTAACTATGACTGTAACAAAAAAATGTTTCATACAAAAGTTAAAATATTTCAAAGAGAATGTAAAATAGGGGAAATGAAATTTTCCTAGATATTTTGTAGATTTGGAGAGCTCAATTTTTTTTAATAAAATATTCTAAATTACTTTATTTAAATAAATTTCTCATAGCATTCTGCATAAAAAGTTATAAGAGTAAAATCGCTATATTAAGCGATTCCGCAGTACGTTATTCGTTCGATTTCTTTATGCGCGTTCGCTTCGCTTCCGCTTAGTTATGACATTCTTATGCGATACGAGTATCGCACATTGCTTAATGTATTAAATTATTTTATTTCCCAATTATTGATAATTATTAGTTATAGCCAGACGGGCTATAACAGTATGTATAATGGTATATGTATACATATGTATTAGTAGTTAGGGAAATTATTATATTTCAATAAAAAAAATTTCGACTATGTTAATCATGTTTTGATTAAAAACTAACAATTAATGATTAATAATTATTTTTCTAAACGACTAAATAGATGATTAATATCTATTAAATTGATTAAATTAATTGTGATTATATGTAACACTTTTTTAATCGATTTTTTTGAGATGATTAAAAACTTAATTGATAAATAGTTACGATTAATTTCATAAGGATTAAAAATTTTAATTATAAATTATAATTAATAATTAATGTTATAATCGCAATCATTAATCAACAAATTGACTAGATTTTGCCCAACTCTGGTAACAATAAAATAATTAGTACGTTATAAATGCAAAGAAAAACGAATTGAAACGAACATTATAATATTAATTATAATTATATAAACATAATTATATGTCATACATAAAAATAAAAATATAATTATATTTACAACATATGTGCACGTTTCGTTTTGCAAAAATATGAAAAATAAAGTTTCTAATAAAAATTCAAATTAAATTTATAATATATTATATAACACATATGCCTAGAAATTTATTCTTAAATGGTAATAATTATCGTAATTAACATCTAAAACGCTTAAACACTACACGCTTAAAAAATAAACTTATTCTTAAATGTTATTAATTGCTACTTAAATTATAGAAAAATTTATCATAATATAATATATGTTGCATAGTAAACTATAGTAAATATATATCTTTTATTCCAAATATTTCCTGAATTAGTCTTTACGCTGCGGATCTTACATTGGATCGTACATCCGGATTTTCTTCATTATTGAATGTTTCTGTATCTTCATGAACTATTTTTTTATTTTTATTATTATTATTATTAAATCTATCCTTACTTCTAACAAGCCATGCTTTTATAACATTTATTATTTCAACATCTGTACAGTTTTGAGCATTCTTGTTAAGTCGTACGACAGCTATAAAATAAATAAATATATTAATAATAAATATTAATAAATTCATAAATTTTAGTCAACATCTTAATTTCCAAATCTTCAATATGAGTAATGATATCCATGAAAGAATTAGAAAATTTAATAAGAACTATTTAATATTAACATAACAGAAATTATGCATAATAAAACTTACACAAAATAGTAGTTTCAATAGCTAAATTTTTGAAAGCTTTTTTCTTTTTAGCCCCTTCCCAGGAATAATTCATGCCAACTTCATTGGTAAAAATACGATACATTATTCTTCTTACAATATCTTTAACAGTAGATCCTCCGATGCGACTTAGATTTTCAGACTGTAATAATGAAAAAAATGCTATTACATATTTAAATATTTATTAGATAATGGCTTGAATAAGTTCTTTATTAGATTGCTGTCATTATAATTATGTAATATCATTATTAAATTATTATCATTTTTAATCAAAATTTATCAAATTTTTTAAATATTATAAATGCTGCTTTAAAGATTTATCTCTTTACATATACACATAGTATATACATATATTATACTATTGATAATATATTTTATAATATACTTATATACAATATAATAATATAAATTTAACACGTTTAAGATTTACTTAAATATAGAAAATAAAATATATAAGAATTATTAAAATTAAACATCAACGACATCTTACATCATATTGACTTCTTAATATGATTTCTTTTTAATATACTTTTGAATATACTTATATTTTATACATTTTAATGGAAGGAAGATTTTTTCTTACCAACATTGCCTTATTTTGTTCAGAACTTGTTAGCTAATTTTCTAATTGAACTAAATACTCATCATTCACCGGAAATAGTTCCACAATATCAGGAACTTTGTTATATGTAGATGGATTTTGTAATTCATCTACTTTATTTTTCATTAGAACATTTATACTTTCTAAAATATCATCTATTTTTAGGCTAAGGATGTGTAATTCTCTGAAAACTCGTTTTTCAAATTCTGTAATGTAATTTAAATATTAATCAATCTTATATTAATATATATATATATATATATATATATATATACATATACAGAGTGAGTCATTTTAATCAATACACTCGAATATCTCGAAAACAGCACTCTTCAGAAAGAAATGTTTCAAACAAAAATTGTAGGATGTGAAGGGGGACATAAGATGGTAACATTGGTTTGACCTTGGAAAGTCATTTGAAGGTCACATAAAAGTCACCTTCAATTTCTTAAATTGAACCCACTATTTTTCATTACATATTCTTGTAGCTTATCTCGAGAGCTTTCCAAAACACTACGGACAAATGTTTTTTCATTAAGTACATTTTGAGTTATAAGGCTTCAAAGTTTGCAGTACTTCGATATAAAATGCAAAATATCTCGTAAAATATTTAGTTTTCGGTAGTCTTACCCTAATACTTTTATGCACAGGATAATGAGACAAAACTATTGGTGCAAAGAAAACGTATGATTGTTTATAATAAAAAATGTGTAATTTGCAATGCACTTTTTGTTATAAACAATCATGCGTTTTCTTTGTACCAATTAATTCGTGATTAAACCTGAGTCCCCTCGCCTCTCATGATTCGGGGTGCTTTTTTAACGTGAGTCCCCTCGCCTCTTACGAGGCCAAGCATCAGTACGTACTGTGAAATCATTCAAGAGTTAGCTACGAATTAATTGCTCAAAATTAGCGCCATTCACTTGCAAACACAGATTGACTCTCCTTTCAAAGTGTCTGACAGTTCTCAGCAAGACAGCCCTGGGAATTGTTGCACAAGCTATCCGGACTCTTTCCATCATGTCGTCTCTTGTCGCAGGTTGTTCTGCCAAAACCGCATTTTTCACATATCCCCAAAGAAAAAAGTCGGGAGAAGTTAAGTCTGGCGATCGAGCAGGCCACGCAATCGGACCTCCGCGTCCTATCCACCTGTGAGGATATTGTTCGTTCAAATAATTTCTTACAATTCGTGCATAATGCGGTGCTGCGCCATCTAGTTGCATCCACATCCTGCGCCTTGTTTCCAGGTCGACATCTTCAAGTAATCCTGGCAAATGATCTCTCAGCAGCTCTAAAAATGTATGTCGAGTCACATTTTCTTCGAAAAAGTAAGGACCAACTATATAACCATTGACGATACCGCACCAGACTATGGAAATTTATTTACAGTATTTGATTTTAGAGCTCTTTCATATTCCAGAGGCAGCTTGTACGAATTCGAAATAAAAATTATCACAATTATTTCTCCGATAACTCGTTCAGAAATAAACCCAAAATTATTCAGCACTTTCTATGTTTTCAAATAGAAGGAATACTGGTATATCTCAAAGGACAGTCATAAGAATTTTGAAGTCACTGGCTTATCACGCTTACCATATCTCGCTAACGCAAGCCTTAACACCAAATGATATGCAAGCGCGCGTGCGTTTTTCTCAGTGGGCCTTACCAATGATTCGTCTTGATCATCATTTTTTTCGATATGTTCTTTTTTCCAATGAATGTACGATTAAAAGTGACGGAGAATTGAAGGCATAATTGTCACTATTGGTCAAACGTCAATCCTCACTGGTACAGAGCTGTGGACCATCAACATCGTTGGAGTTTAATAGTCTGGTGCGGTATCGTCAATGGTTATATAGTTGGTCCTTACTTTTTCGAAGAAAATGTGACTCGACATACATTTTTAGAGCTGCTGAGAGATCATTTGCCAGGATTACTTGAAGATGTCGACCTGGAAACAAGGCGCAGGATGTGGATGCAACTAGATGGCGCAGCACCGCATTATGCACGAATTGTAAGAAATTATTTGAACGAACAATATCCTCACAGGTGGATAGGACGCGGAGGTCCGATTGCGTGGCCTGCTCGATCGCCAGACTTAACTTCTCCCGACTTTTTTCTTTGGGGATATGTGAAAAATGCGGTTTTGGCAGAACAACCTGCGACAAGAGACGACATGATGGAAAGAGTCCGGATAGCTTGTGCAACAATTCCCAGGGCTGTCTTGCTGAGAACTGTCAGACACTTTGAAAGGAGAGTCAATCTGTGTTTGCAAGTGAATGGCGCTAATTTTGAGCAATTAATTCGTAGCTAACTCTTGAATGATTTCACAGTACGTACTGATGCTTGGCCTCGTAAGAGGCGAGGGGACTCACGTTAAAAAAGCACCCCGAATCATGAGAGGCGAGGGGACTCAGGTTTAATCACGAATTAATTGGTACAAAGAAAACGCATGATTGTTTATAACAAAAAGTGCATTGCAAATTACACATTTTTTATTATAAACAATCATACGTTTTCTTTGCACCAATAGTTTTGTTTCATTATCCTGTGCATAAAAGTATTAGGGTAAGACTACCGAAAACTAAATATTTTACGAGATATTTTGCATTTTATATCGAAGTACTGCAAACTTTGAAGCCTTATAACTCAAAAAGTACTTAATGAAAAAACATTTGTCCGTAGTGTTTTGGAAAGCTCTCGAGATAAGCTACAAGAATATGTAATGAAAAATAGTGGGTTCAATTTAAGAAATTGAAGGTGACTTTTATGTGACCTTCAAATGACTTTCCAAGGTCAAACCAATGTTACCATCTTATGTCCCCCTTCACATCCTACAATTTTTGTTTGAAACATTTCTTTCTGAAGAGTGCTGTTTTCGAGATATTCGAGTGTATTGATTAAAATGACTCACCCTGTATTTATACAGGGTGTCCCATTTTAATCCATCCAATCGAATATCTCGAAAACCAAGCTTGAAAGAGAAAAATGTTTCAGACAAAAGTTGTATGGTTTCTAGGGGGACATAAGATGGTACCATTGGTTTGACCTTGAAGAGTTATTTGAAGGTCACATGAAGGGCACCTTTAATTTCTCAAATGGAATCTACATTTTCTCATTACATATTCTTGTAGCTTATCTCGAGAGCCAAACACTAACAGTTCCAAAACACTATAATAAAATATTTTTTTATTGAGTACTTTTCGAGTTATGAAGCTTGAAATCATTTCTTAATTTAACATAAACCGTAATATATCTAGTAAAATATTCATTTTTCGATTATCTTGCTTTAATACTTTTATGTACAAAATAATGAGAGGAATCAATTGGTGTAAAGAAAACATAGTTATTTTTAAGAAAAAATATGTAATTTGCAATTAACAATTACATATTTTTTCTTTGAAACAATTATGAGTTTTTTTTACACCATTGATTCAAGATAATCGAAAAATGAATATTTTACTAGATATATTACGGTTTATGTTAAATTAAGAAATGATTTCAAGCCTCATAACTCGAAAAGTACTCAATAAAAAAATATTTTATTATAGTGTTTTGGAAAGCTCTCGAGATAAGCTACAAGAATATGTAATGAAAAATAGTGGGTTCAATTTAAGAAATTGAAGGTGACTTTTATGTGACCTTCAAATGACTTTCCAAGGTCAAACCAATGGTACCATCTTATGTCCCCCTAGAAACCATACAACTTTTGTCTGAAACATTTTTCTCTTTCAAGCTTGGTTTTCGAGATATTCGATTGGATGGATTAAAATGGGACACCCTGTATATACAGGGTGTCCGGTAACTAACGGATCAACGCTTGTAAGAAGGTAGAGGGCGCTAAATTGAACAAAAAAAGTTTTCTACCATTTTGCGATTTTCGCAATACATATACAGGGTGAGGCATCTAAAACAGGCCACCTGAATAACTCCTGCAGTTTTGAAGATAGAAAGAAGTGTTTGAAATAAAAGTTGTTTGATTCAAAGAGGGAAATAAGATAGATATTTGAGTTTGACCTTGAGTGGAGGCGTTTCGGAGATTTGAAGGTCAACTTTGTTTTTTTAAATAGAATTACCTTAATTTTTTTATACAAATATATTCCTGTAATTATTCTGTACAAACTTATAAGAGTAATATAGCCAATAATTGAATGGTTTACGTAATATTTTATATTTTAATCTGATATAATTTTGACATAAGGGATATATTGCAAATTACGTACTTTTCTTTAAATGTTATTGCAAGTGTTCGAAATGATGACCTTGTGCATCGATGCATGTTCTAAAGCGATTAGTTATGGAAAATATTGCGTTCCGAATTTCATTTGTATCTATCATAGAACATGCTCTTCTTATACGTTCTTTCATATCTTCTTTAGATGTTGGCACTTCGTTGTATACTTGTTGTTTTAATTTGCCCCACAAATAAAAATCCAAGGGTGTTAAGTCTGGTGAACGCTTAGGCCATTTTTGTATTCCTGAACGGCCAATCCAACGATCTTCAAATTTTTCGACTGATACTATTCAGTGTAACGCGACTGAATGTTTGTTTACATGCTCATGATCATAACACATGAAGAATATTTGAAGATCATTGGAATATTTACAGTAGTGGCACAAGATCATCATTTCGAAACACTTGCAATAACATTTAAAGAAAAGTACGTAATTTGCAATATATCCCTTATGTCAAAATTATATCAGATTAAAATATAAAATATTACGTAAACCATTCAATTATTGGCTATATTACTCTTATAAGTTTGTACAAAATAATTACAGGAATATATTTGTATAAAAAAATTAAGGTAATTCTATTTAAAAAAACAAAGTTGATCTTCAAATCTCCGAAACGCCTCCACTCAAGGTCAAATTCAAATATCTATCTTATTTCCCTCTTTGAATCAAACAACTTTTATTTCAAACACTTCTTTCTATCTTCAAAACTGCAGGAGTTATTCAGGTGGCCTGTTTTAGATGCCTCACCCTGTATATATATATATATATATATATATATATATACATTCATACAAATTAGCATGTTTAAGCTTATTCTGATAAATGTGTGTAACTGTATAACCATAAGCATAAAGAAAATTATCAATTCGCATTTCTATCATAAGAATACATAAAATGCGATTGGATAATTTTTAATGCATAATAGTTATGCAGCTATGCAAGTTTGTCTGGATTAACATTAAAAAGTATATATATCATACGAAATGTCTCTTACCAGTACTATGTCCAACAACTAGAGAAGATTTATGTTGCAGTGTTGCTTTTACGGTAGCACAAGATGAAGTAGAAGCAATTGCTGAATTATCAATTTTATTTGCTCTCTCTTGCAAAAATATAAATTATAGATTATAATAATCTTCATGTAATTTAATTATAATTTTCTTTTATATTACATAATATACAAAAAAAGAATTTAAAAAAGTATTCATAAAAAAATTAATTTTCTGAATTATTTTCCTCTATACATTTTTCTATATTTTTTGTTATGAATTACCTTTATTGTAAATATCACCTTGATTAATAGATTCAAAGATTTCGTCCATATCTGTCTCCTCTGTGTAATAAAGCAATGTATCAATAAATATGTTATTCAATATAAATGTTAACAATATTATTGAATTTTTTGTAATGTAAATGTATAATGTTTTACAATAATCTTTTAATATCTTTAATAAACATGAGTAGTGATACTAGGAGAGTTCTAACTCAGGTCCTCTCAGGACCTATTCTTGTTGGCTGAGTCATTGTGCAAAACCGATCCAATTCATATTATTGATCTGTTAATTATTCACTCGTAGTGTTACTTTATTTTTCTAGTAATAAACTTGTTATCTTTTTTTTGTTCAAATCGCGTAATTTATTTAAGTGTTCGTCTCGCTTGGTTGTCGATTGTCGTTTTGTCTGTCGTCCGTTAATTCCGCGAAAACTCGCATAATCAATTAACTTTCTCTAACAACCGCTACCCTCTACCGTTAGGCGAGCTAGTCGGCCCGTGGCGAAGCAGGATATCGTTTTATTTTAACGTCTTTCGGCTTTTCGCGAAAACTGATGCGTGAAAGACCGCATCTGGCGCACAGCTTTTCGATATATCGATACGGTCTCCGCTCCGCCGCGGCTCGCGCGAGAACGTCCTCCACCCCTGTTCCTCCGAACGCGAGTATAATAATTTCGTTATTGTTTTTGATGGCGTTTTCGCTCCCCCGCGCACGCTCCCATCCAACATCTCGAGGAGTGTCGCGATTCATTTTGAATTTCAATTGAATAAACGTCACAAAAATTTGGCGGGGGGGTGAGGCGCGAGGGGAACCGCGGTGCGGGGGGAGTGATGTCACCCGCGGGGAAGGGGGATCCGCGGCGCGAGCGATGGACGAGGGGGTCCGCGCAGTGAAGGGGGATCCGTAGCGCGGCCGATGGACGAGGGGGTCCGCGCGGTGAAGGGGGATCCGCGGCGCGACCGATGGACGAGGGGGACCGCGAGGTGAAGGGGGATCCGCGGCGCGAGCGATGGGTGAGGGGGTCCGCGCAGTGAAGGGGGATCCGCGGCGCGACCGATGGGCGAGGGGATCCGCGCGGTGAAGGGGGATCAGCGGAAAGAAAACGGCGTGTGAGAAGGACAGCGCAACGTATGGGAAAAGAACAGTGCAAAGTGTGTGAGGAGGACAGTGCTACGAGTGCGACAAGGATGGCGTTAACGTGGGACAAGGACGACGTATAGGTGGGAGAAGGACGACGCAAAGGTAAGTGAACAACGAGTATATTCTAAGCGAAAGAGAGAGAACGATAATAGCGCGAAGACTTACAACTAGCGCGTGCGAGAGAGAACGATAGCGCGAAAACGACATGTACAAGAGAGACGCAAGGATGTGGATGCGAGGAGAGGCGCGTAAATAATTAGATTTTTTTTCTCAATTAAAATTAAATAAAATTTATTTAAATGTGTACTTTTGTGTCCTAGAGAGATTACTTATTCTAATCGCGAGAGAAAGAGATAGACTTACAACTAGCGCGAAGACTTACAACTAGCGCGTGCAAAAGAGAACGATATCGCGATAACTAGCGCAAGAGAGACGCAGGGATGGGGACGCATGGAGAGGCGCGTAAATAATTATATTTTTTGTTTTAAATCAAAATATAAAATATAAATTTATTAAAAATGTGTGTATTTACAATTGTGTGTGTGTGTATGTGTGTGTGTGTATGTACTTAAAATTAAGAATATAATAAGAATAATAAAATATAAGAAATAATAAAATTTAAAATATAATTAAGGGTGCGGGGGGGGGAGGGCAGGGGAGCCAGGTGAGGGGGTCGCTCCTGGAAGGCTAAGGGGTCGCTCCAGGAAGTTTAAGGGGTGATGCGCCAGGCTGAGGAGGCATTGCGCCAGGCTAAGGGGAGACCGCTTCTGTAACAGAAAAGATACATATTTTATTAGATTTTAATAATTTATTTTAGGATACTTTATGATATAATATAAATTGAAAGATACTTACAATGTTATTCATTTATTTAATATGTGCAAATGGGGCACATGTCACACGGCAATATTAGAAGTACAGATTTCCTGCACTCTTTGCATGACATATTATCTATGTTGCAATAAGCTATGATTCTATGTAGCCGAACAGATGTAGCTTCCAGAAACATTTCCGATAGACTCACAAAGCAATCGGCGCAATATCTCGATCCATTTTCCATGTAAAAATAGGAAATGCAACATATCTTTGTTGCCTCGCTCAATGTTAATATTTCGGGTAAGTCTAAATGTCGCTGTTTCTGTTGTACTAGTTCATCACCATCATCACTATTATCACTATCGTAAGCACTGTCTGTCAAGGGTTCTATTTCAATATCAGACCCATCTTCATCTGCTAGATTGCCAATGTCCATATGGTTATCATCATCATCAATATCCATTTTATTATCTTCATCATCAATGATAATAATTTCTTCAATGTTCTCATCGACGATAATAACATCCATATCTTCATCGTCGATGATGATTACGTCTTCTTCAGCCATTGCACTAACGTAACACACAAGACTAACGAAACGCAAAGAACAACGAAATAATATTCTAATGTTGCAGACTCCTCTTCATTATATATCTTTTTAATATCTCGCATCTCATTCCAATTAGAGCATCGCGTCTCATCTACCTCAGCATTTCTCTACATCTTTGGCGGAGCGTGTTGAGAAAAATTATCGACTATTCTTATTCGTATGGAAGGAAAGAAATAAAATCATAGATTGAATAAAAATAATTATTTATTGCACGCATCGTAAAGAATATCATTTACAGCACATGTTAATAATTCGCAATCGATCAATGATTCGCTGTCGAAGACTTCACTCTCACGTATCGTTTTTACAGCATCGCATACAGTAGTAATATTATTACGTTGTAATACAGTTTCAAATTGTTTAAATTTTTCATTTACAAGATACGTATTTTCGCATAACCAATTGTGCATATGATCGATATAATTTTCAAAATTAAATAAATGTAATAATGTTTCTGGTTTCATGTACAAAGAATTTTCGCATAATGCAAGTTTTACAATTTTCGATTGATACATTTCAATCGTTAAATCTCCAATCCTTAATGGGGGAGTAGTCGATTGTAGAAATTGTTCAACGTCTGCTTGCTTCCGCATCAACAAATTCCACGTTGAAAAGGGCAACACTATTTGATTGCCTCGATTATCGCCGAGAATCAGCTCCACGTACGATACAGTTCCAACGCTTATTCCAATGTCCAAATACTTGTACGACGTCGGGGTTACAGCGTACCTTCTTCCAAGTATGCGAGTCGCACGACGAGGCTGAATACTATAAAATATAAATAATTAGACAACAATATCAAAAATCAATAAGTAAAAAATTTTTTTAAACGATTTAAACTTACGTGTCGCATTTCTGCTTCTTACACGGTGGAGTTTCATCGTTTCGAATCGGAACGTAGAAATTCATATTTCTTCAGCGGTGAATCTTTCACACGCGCGATTGATGCAATACTGCAATCGTATTAGAATCAATATCAATTCAAATAGTATCCCAAATTGCGATGTAGAGAGGATTATTGCTGACGCAACATTTTAATTTCCTCCAAAATTTTGTCGCGCCGATGTACGGCTGCGATGACATCATCATCTTCGGAACAAAGATTTAGCTGAAATTGCTAAAATCGAGCGCCGATGTACGGCTGCTCCTGATACAATCATGTCAAAATTATTCAAATGTACGTGACAAAACGGGAAATTTTCAATGTTAAGATCTGCATCGAAACTAAGATTTAGCTGAATTTGCAAAAATTGAGCGCCGATGTACGACTGCGCCTGATGCAATCATGTTAAAATTATTCAAATGTATGTGACAAATAGTGAAAAAATAACCGCCAAGGTTAAAACATACATCATCCCCAGACAAAGATTTAGCTGAAAGCGCTAAAATCAAGGGCCGATGTATGGTTGCCCCTGATACAATCATGTTAGATTTTTCAAATGTACGTGACAAAACGTGAAATTATCAAGGCCAAATTGCACACGGCACTACGGGGAATTTTTTGTAATATGAAATCGTTCTAGAATATTCGATGATAAAACAATACATGAGACGGTATATAAATCATGATAGAGAGACGCACCCCACCAGTAGCTAAAGTGCATCAGACCTATCATTAGAAACGCTAAATTTTGCAAGTGTACGGTAGCAATATGGAGGAGCAAATTTTGCGAGAACAATCCGCTTTGCTTGATTCGCTGGAAAACTACATTGTGTGGGAGCAACGATGCGACGAATACATTGAGCCGCTGGAAGAGCAAAGTCGAACGGCCGCGATTATCGATCGGAAATCGACAATCACTGATTGCTCGGATCGCGCGCATCGAAGGTTTGAAAAATTCGGTACGTGGACGTTTCATACACGCGGGTGCCGGATGTAGTGCGCGTCAAAATGGACTTGTGTGGCGCGAAATTGATACGGCGTTCGAGAGTCGCGTATCGACTGGTGCGGTGATAAACTATAATCACATCGAACCGCGCCAATTTCTCGATGACGCCAAAGACATTGTGTTGGAACATGTGCAGAGCGCTTTAAAAAAACACAACAGTGTAAAAGTGAACACTATATTCAATGGTGAATTTGTGTCGGGTGATAAACACGCGAATAAAAGTGTGAATACGAAAAACTATGAACTCTTTCGCACATCCGATTTACGCGAGTGGTACGAACGGCGCGTTATCGAGTCCACCCTAGTGTCTCTGAAAGAGTTTCAGGAACGCGGTAGCGGGTGGGCATTGTTGCGAATACTGAACTTGACTGTAAATATAAACAAGTACAATCCCATGCGCGCGGGATGTCACATCAAATTACCGCGGGAGATTATGATAAAGAGAGCAGTGGTTAACGTGCAATCAAAGGACAATGCGTGTTTCGCGTGGGCTGTGGTCGCCGCTCTGTATCCCGCTGAAAGAAACGCGGAACGGGAATCATCATACCAGCATTACGCGACAGTGCTGAATCTCCGGGACATTTAGTTT